ATGCTTTCCTTTGCCTGGTCATTAAAAGATTCATTTTTTCACGTAGGTGCTTTTCTTATGGGATGACCAGGGGCGAGAAGTTTCCGAAGTCTTCTCTACCTCTTGCCGTTTCCTTTGAATTTCGGATCCTATTCAGCCTATATTTCACTTCGTTAAACAGCTCGTGACAAACGTCTTCGGAAAATGATTTTTCTCCGGTTAAACGATAAGTTGCTGATTTTCTGCGGAAGAAAAGAACAGTTTCCGCAACATTTCATGTTCCTTAGGAATAATCTATGAATCAATTTCGCTTTCATAAATGTGAGGATATAGAAATGGAAGTTAATGTAGCACAGGTACGTTTTTTGCATATAGTGCAGCATATTGTTTCGTTGTTTCTGTATACCAATACATCCCAGAATGGAAGATTACTGTCTAATCCAAATTGTGGGCGAACTGAATGTTTTCTTGGATGTAATTTAGATGTTCATGAAATATCTTTCGTTGTTCTACGCCTCGGGTGTTGTCTACGCACTGTACGACGTCAGTAGATTCAGTTTCTCTGAGTTTAATATCATTTCTTCGATCTGCTCCATGCATATGTCAGCCTCGACGGAAGATATTGGCAATCCCATGAGACAGCCATTATGTTGAATATAGTTTTTCCAATTGCCAGAAATTGAACTGAGTTTGGGCATACTTCTATGACCCAAAGAATATCAAGTCTAGCCCTTGCAGGTGGTAGGGCAGCGCGCTGAGTAGTCATTAGTTTGTATTTGATTATTTCTTATGAATCGGCATTTGCGTGAAAAAGAATACGGAGCCAAAGATCATTATGATTATTTTCGGTGTAATCAATATGCCATCGACCTTTTCTATTAACTTTTTGAAGTTGAGAAAATGCCCACTACTGGTTAGGTTGAGAAGTTTCTTCAGGATAGGAATTAGAAATTTAGTGAGAGGTTAGATGATGAACTGGAAGTTTGCTATTTTGCCTGCGTGGCGCTCCTATCTTATTTAATTTGGGTATCCCGTAGATATTTGGGGCCCGGCAGCAGTCAACTCCTGGTCTGAGAGGTCTAATCGATTTATTTATTCTGGCGTGAACGCTCTTTGACTTCTGATAATCCGATCGGTCAACATGTAGATTTGCGTGACAGTGTTTCTTCTTTGAAATCGACGGATCTCGTAGTATGTTACGTCATGCCCTGCGAGATCCAGGCTTCTTCTTCTTATTCCTTCAATTTCATCATGACTGTAAATTGTTCTTGTTTATCGGTTGGAGCTTCAGTTTGTCATTTTCAGCGTCTTTACCGGTAAAGTTATCATTTTCATTTGGGGATGAGTTTTCCTTTGTTGAAATCTTCCATGGATGTTGGAGTTACTAGTTGTCTTTTTCTTAGGTTCACATGCTCACAAGGACCTATAACATTTTTTAAAAATTATATGCTAATCAAACCTAATTGAGTAAAAGTTACTGTGTGCAAATACACTAATTTGCTTTCATTTGACAAGTCGAAGATGAAGATTGCTGCGAGTTTTGCACCATAGTGTTTCCAACTTATGCCCTATTCAAATCTATTTGATTAAAAGTTTAATCACATGTCTATCCTAGTAATTATTGCTGAAATTTATTTTCCAATCAATTATTTGCTTTTTTTGAAACCTTCTTTGGAAGTCGCTGTAATTATCTGTCAAGGTTTCTTTTAATATCTTACCTTAAGCGAGGTACACTTCCTTAAACTGTTTTCCACGGTCTTCATTTTTCTATCAACTAATCTTACAAATCAGTGCAGCTTACAGTACAAATTGCAAATTTTGGCGCTTAACCTTCACGGTTTACTCTCAGCTGCAGATGATCAACGAAATGGAGCGAACAGTGTTAATTAATGCGAAGAGACTGTTGTCAGACTTTGGATTACATGCCAGTGTAGAGTCTGTTCAAGATCTGAATGGTAGGCTGCATAATTGCATATTCTGTGTAATTCTGCGTTATTCTGTGTTATTGCGTGAAGGAAGTGTCAGAAGTGCTTGTGGAAATATGCCGTAGAAAATCTTATGGCAGGAAGAATAATTGTCTTATATCTCCGAAGTCAACTTTGCTTACTGTTATTCTGAAAAATACCAGCTCTAACGCTGGAACTTCGTAAATCTGGGCTATTACATCTTTCAGACTCTGTTGCCTTTGGTTGCGTTTCAAGTGGGTGCTTTGCCCGAACCGTTGGTGCATATCATCACGGAAACTATAGTTAAAAATTGCTTTATATTTATTTTAGATGAGGTTATATCCGTTGCTAGTGATATTTTATTCTTTGAGTAGATAAGAAAGGACTGCATTCATCCACGTGTCACCCGCATTGAATGTAATCCCTTGAGGAATCCTTTTTGCAAAATTTTAGTATGGATGAATTGTTCAGTAACTGCTGCACTGGTATACTGATTACTTCACAGACCGACAGCAATTTTTTCCCGTAGGCAGGCTTCGGCATTCGACGGCACATAGCTCGTTTGGCGTGCTTCAAGGATCAGTGAACAGACTTCAGCCTAACAGACCTGTCAACTGTGTGAAGTATGCTGCTGGTATGGTTCTTATTTCTGGAATCCGATGTCAGCTTATTGCCTCTGTTTTGCATGATGCTATGGATGAGACGGAAAGCTGGCTAAGGAGCCATGACCTGATTATTAAACGTATGAATAGCGAGCAGCTAATGATGATCATGAAGAACACCACATCATCTAACCTCTTTCTCACTTCTGAGCACTTGATAAGAACTGATTGTGAGTCAGTACCTTGTGTTGTCATGGTATG